CATTTGCTCTCTAATGGATAGACTCACTTTATTGTAGAAAGGTAGTGCATACAGAATACACAGCCGCCCAGGTGATCTTTTGACAACATAAATTAAATCATGTCACTCTCCCACTTACAACCCTCTAGTGGCTTCCATCAAATGCAGTATCAAACCCAGACTCCACAGGGTGACCTCTGTGGCCCCTGAACCTGATTATCTGACCTCAGCTCCTGCTACCCTAGCCTCCTTCCTGCTCTGCTAACACACCCACTTGTTCCTACCTCAGGATCTTTGCACTGCCTGGAAATTCTTCTTCAGGTCTTACCCCAGCTTACCTAGCTTAAAGATGGCTCCCCAGTGAGAACTTTCTTGACCACCCAATCTGAAGTAGCCCCTGCATCTGTCTCAATTATATCACACAATTTTATTTTCAATTTTTATTTTTTTTATTGTGCTTAACACCTCTACAGTATGAGGGTACCACCTCTAGCCATCTAATCCACCATCCTCCCTGGCACCTGTACTAGAGATCCTCAATAAATATTGGCTGAATGAATGAAACTGTTTTTAAAGTCTCCAGATTTGTGGTGCATGCAATAAAGTAACCTACTTTATCAGGCCTATTCACGGTGGCACAGCCCCTTAATGAGACTCTTTAAATAAGTCGTCTCCTCCTGCAGCCTGGTCCTGGAGAGAAGCCCACAGCCCTGCCAGTGGAAAAATGAATGAGTGGTTGTGTTTCGACCAGACTTTGATTTTGATCATCCACCCTGCAGCTAAACCGGAAGTCCAGTGCTAATACTACACCCTTCCCTTTCGCCCACTCCTGTATCAGTTAATCAGTAAGTTCTGCCAAGTTCCCTTCTGTGGGGACATTCAATATCTGTGTCACCATCTTTCAGCAGGATAATTTCAGTGCCCTTTTAGGAAGAAACATCTCTCCCCATTCTGATGACCTTTCCAGAACACTATTTCTAGATAAGTAGGGCCAAAGCTAGGCTCACTGGACATCTTCTCTGAGCATTTTGAATGTAGAAGAATAATACAGTGAGAATGAGCATGAGACAGGAAAAGCTTGAAGATTATTTACTCCAAAAAATATCATCTGATAAGGTGACTCCTGCCCCCAGGCTCCCCTCAGTGGCCTAATTCCTGCCTGCTCCCAGCCCAGCTCTGCAGATGTGCCCTCAGTCCTATGCCTTCCATCAATACCACCAACCCATTCTCTTTGTTTGCTTTGTTAGAGTTGGTTTCTACTGCCTGCCACCCAGGAACCTTAACTGACAATTCACCTGAACTTGTGCTGAATCCTCTCCTCTCTGCTCCCTACCAGGGCCTCAGTGCTCCTGCCTCACCAGCATGCACACCTCTGGTCTTCTCACTGGCAAATCCATGCTCCACAAGGTCTCCGACTGGACTTACCCAAATCTGAGAACACTGCCCACCCTCATGCAGAAATACTGAGCTGCTGGTCCTAACAAAAGGCCCCCATCTACCACCCCAGGCTCTTTTCCTGTCCCTACTTGCCTCTTAACCTTTAAGCTCCAGGAATCTAAACTCCAGGCTGCTTCTTCATATTTTCTGTGTGTTTTCTTACCTCTACCACTCTGCTTACCCTATGTCCTCTACATTGCAATACCCATTTAAGACTGACCATTTCAAAATCATCCTTTAAGCTCAGCTCAGGCAGCACTTCACAAATGTTTATCCCAAACACAGCGTCTGCCTTCACCACTAACCTGTCAATTTTTGATGCAAGGCACTGCATCATATTCATCTCTATATCCATACCACATAATAGGCCCTGAATACATTTTTGTTAGATATTAAATGATTAAGAACATAATTTGCTTGAAAAACCCAGGTGGCATGCAACAGATGTGTTTTCATTTTCCTCCTTTCTCACCACATTCATTGTCCTCGAATTGAGCAAGCGAGGGATCAGCCAGCGCTCTGCCCATCCTGAAGGAAGGTCTCACTGCTTGAGACTCAGGATACAGGCTGCCTACTGAGCATCAGAACCGACAGCCAGTCACACTGCCTCGTAGTTCTCCATCAAGAAAGGACATTTTAGACCCTCTGACTACAATAGTTTAAGTCGCCATGAAGGGCAAAGACGCCACCCACCCCATACCACGTGGGCACGGACAGGGAATGTGCAAACACAGAAGCAGCCTATAATCAAACCAAGCAAGGCTCAAACCTCACATGGCCCCAGTATAGGCACCCTCCGCTGGCCCACTGCACAAGGTGCTGCTCTGCTTGTGCTTGAGTGTCCTCACCAGGAATGAGGGATGAGACACAGACCTACATTCACTCAGCAAACACAGGCAGGGCATGCACTATGCTCTGACTCCAAACAAGGCATGAAGGTCAGAGGTCACGAGAGCAGATCATAAGCGGCAGTGTGGGAAGAATACTAGACTTAGGATAAGGAACCCCAACTTCATAGAATCAAACTGTAAACCTGCCTCTTACCCACAAACTACACAGCCTCAAGAAAAGTATTTAGCCTCCCTCAATAACAATTTCAAAATATGAAAAATGAGCTCAAATGTGTGAAAGTAGCACCACGCAGGATCTCAGAAATCTAAATAAAGAGGGTCTCCAAAGAACTTAATGTCCCAAGTTCTATCAGAGCCAGTGTTCTTCTCAATATGAGAATGAGCACCCCCTTCTGCCACCCTCAAGCACTGTGTGGGCTGCCACGGAGCACACAACCTTGGGATCAAGTACCAGGGCACAGATACCTCTCCCGCCTGCTGACCCAGGAGGACACGGTCCCTCCCAAGGCCACTCGCTATGGAAAAGAATTTCTAGATAGAAGCCCAACCCTGCTCAATATTTATGCCCTAATTAGAGGCCTCCTGTGGTGAAGATAAATGTTCAACTCAACTCAGCCAAGCAGCTGTCACACACCCCCTCAGCCCACCCCAGTCCACATCACTCCTTAGAGAGGAAAGGGAGTCCTGTGTCTCCATCAAATCTTGCCCATCATTCTCTCCACGGAGCCAGCTGCATTAAATTTTCTTTCTAAAAAGCCTTTATTCTGCACCCTCACTGAAGCTTGATTACTGGCAAGAGTTGCACTGAGAGTTCAGAGAAAGGTGATCTTGATGAACAATTCTAAGAGGATTTAGCGCTCCTGCAATAAAATATCCTAGGGTGTGGGTTTCCAGAGTTTTGTTTTCATTACTCTACTTGGATACATACAGTAACCAACTTCAGTGTTGTAGACCAGCTTCTCGGTAAACACAACCATTCTTCAAGCAGCTTGTGCCCTGAAAAACCCCCGTTTGCTGTGAACCCAGAAAGGGGGGCCATGCAGCTGGGATTCCACCAGAGCAGGCTGCCTGGAAAACGCAGCCCAGGGCCATTCATGGGGGCTGCCACCGACTGCCCAAAGAACAAGAAAAGTTCTGCTGTTCTCGGAGCTCAGGAATGCATCCTCACTGGGGTACAGCAACAGGGCGGTGAGAATAGGGGAAGTCTGAGTTGCCACCTAGACTTCAAAGCCTCAAACAAGTAGCTAACAAAAGTGGGACTCCACCAACTCTTCCTTCTCCTTCCCGCAACACTTCACTCCAGCCTACAAAGATGAAATAAAAACAACCAACAAGCCATGGAGGAGAGCTGGAGTCAGCCTTGCTAAAAAACACGTCCTGCTCTAGCCTCAAGACAATTTCACACCAAATGGCTTTAACCTTTCCCAAGCTCTGATGCCTGAATAGAAAAAGAACTAAAGCCAGTAAGCAAAGAAGCACAACATGGAAATACTAACAGCTGAGTTTTCACATGTGCACAAATGTGTGTGTGTGGATATACAGAGGGCAGAAATCTACTCATTCTTCCCAGAGAAGGTCACCGAAGCTCTGTCAGGGAAGTTGCTCTTATTCACTCCAGAGTGTAGTTATTATCAGCACTAATCAGGCTTCGGTGGCCATGGCCCAGCACAGCCGCACACAGCACTGAGCTGCTGTTTTCTGAGCCCTCAAAGTCTCCTGTTCTGCAAAAACCGGGTTTGGGGCCTAGGGATGGCACCCCAGGCTTGGCACCCAAGGAAATGCAGGCACCGGTTCACCTGGGCTAAGGGCTTCAAACCCATGGCAAGGAGGAGTCTTCCTTATAACCTCTTCCTCAAAGCAAAAAGAGCAGTGGGAACTGAGGCTGTGGGTGGGGACCGAGGGCGCACGTGGCTGGCACCCAGGAGGCAAAGCGTAGCCCTGAGTCCCAGGCTCAGCACCACCCTCCTGTCAATGTGAGCTGTCCTCTGATCGCCCTAGCCCCAAGGCCGGCCCCCAGAACAACCTGCTGCTGCCGAGGCGCCCTCAGGCCAAGTATGAGGAAGTTCACTCCCCGTCGCGCCAGTCCGGAGAGTCTGGGGCACCCGTGTAAACCCAGACTGCCTGAGGGAGCCGAAGCCCGCCCTTGCCCAGGCGTCGGACCGAGGGAGCCGCTGGAGGCCTCCCCGGGAATCCCGTGCTCCCCAGGGCCCGCGGAGCCCCGGCGGGTGGCGGCGAGAAGGCGTGTGCCTAGGCTGGTGAGCAGCCCGCGCCGGGGACTAGAGGCGGAGGGAATCCTGCCTCCAGTCTCTCCCGATCGCCATGACTCCCAGCTTCCCGAAGCCTGGAAGTAGCACTGCTCTACCTGGGCTGCGGCGCGGCTCTCCTCCCCTTTTCTCTGCACCCTGCCCGCCGCCCTGGCGGCCAGCGGCGCCGGGGACTAGGTGAGTATCAACCAGCCTGCAGCCCGCACAGTTCCGGGACACCCGAGTGGGACACCCACGGCCCGTCCCCAGCCCCACGCCCCCGGGCTGTCGGCAGCAGCCACCCCAATGGAGGGCGAGGTGGCTCTGGCGGCCCCAGCTACCCGCTGCCCTCCGCCAGAGCCAACAGGTATGGGAGGCGGTGTCGGCCGCCCGCTCGGACCCGGGATCTGGGCTCCGTATAGGGTGAGGACTCGGGGAAGAGGCGAGGGCGGGAGGCGAGCGGAGGGCGCGAGCGGGCGGCAGCACTCACCTCTCGCTGGGCCGGGCCGGCCGCGCGGGCCCGCTGCCCCGAAGCCCAGGTTCCGAGGCGCCTCCGGGCGGTGCGGGGGGCTCCCTCCGAGGCCCGCAGCGGGGGAGGGGGCGGCGCGGAAGGAGGCGCCGGCGGGCAGCGCTGAGCCTTACGCTCACACCCCCAGCCGGCAGCCGCGTCCCCGCGCTGGCATCCTCGCTGCCGCCGGCTCCCACGGCTCCCCGGAGCCGCTCCCCAAGCGCGCGCCGAACCGGCGCGAGCCCCTCGTCGGCTCCTAGCGCGATGCGGGCGCCTTCCTCCCTGTCCTTGTCCTCTGCTCCCGTCTGGGGACGCGTGCCCCGCACCCCGGCACGGCGCGCTCCTCTACCCCTCCCGCTCCCGCTGGCCGTGCAGAGCCCTGGCGCGCGGGCTTAGCCCATGTGCGCGGCTGCCTCGCTGCGCCCCGGAGCTCAGTGGCCGAGGCCCCGCAGGAGTTGCGCGCCCTAGACACTCCATGCAGCTCCGGCCTCCTCCCCCTCTCTTCCCCAGCGGGCCCCCCAGGGCCTTGAGGCCGCTCGCAGCGCTGTGCCCCGCTCTGCCTGGCCCGCGTCAGGAGCGGGGTTCAGGGTTCGCCTTGGGCGCTCGCGCCCCGGCTTTTCCGAGGGTCGAGGAGCCCCCACCCCCACCCCTTCTCCTAGCCAATGGCTCCCTCGGTTTCCAGGCAGCGCAACCTGAGGAACGCCTCGGCGCGCGCGCACACACACACACACACACGCTGCACACGGGCACACACGCGCGGGGCGAGCTGGAGCTTGGCAGACGGTCCACCTCCTTCCTCTCCTCCCCGAAGAAGCTGCCCACGTTAACTCCAGCAAACTGCTGTTCTTCTCTATTGGACAATTCACCCCAGTGCCCCCCACCTTAACTACTTCCTATCCGGCGCCCAGACCTTTGGGTCACAATCACACCTGCGTTGCCCCCAGGAGGACCGCGGAGCGCCGAGTTAAGGAACTGGAGGCCGAACCCGGGGAAGGAGGATTCAATGTGCCCACCCCACCACCATCTAGGGCGGCACATCTCCAGCCTTGGCCCGCCAACCTGTGATCCCGCGCCACGAAGGCCTGAGAACACGTATGGTTTGGCCCCCACTTCTCTGTCCAAGGTCATAGAATGGATTTGATAAGGGGGAGAGGGCTCTGGGACACAGGTGTGAGCTAGAAATCTCAACGACTATTTGCAACCTGCCTGGTGCTAACCTCTTCCAAGACCATCCCCAGAGAGCCCCCTTTTCTCTTCTGCCCCATGCCTCAAGGGCAACACTCTGGCTTAGAGTCTCCGGTCAGCTTCCCTGGTCCCACCTGTCTACCTCTCAGGCCCCCAGAAGCTGGCCAAATACACAGAGCAACAGAGGTTGGTGGTGTCAAGTAAAGAAAAAAATCAAACACCAAGATGTGTCTCCAGATAGTCCCCACAGATAGTCAGATGCCTGCCAGTCCTTTTCTGCTCCTCCCAAGGGTGTGCCAAGGGAGAAGCAGCAACCCACCTGGGTGGAGCAAGCTCGTCTTCCCTTACAGCACCCTCTTTCCTGGGTCCCCAGTTTCTTCCCCCTCCTTCCCCAGGTGACAGAACAACTGCTCACCAGCTCAGATGCCTCCAATTACCAGAATCAAAAGAGAAATATACATACAAAAATTCTCATACCAATCAGGAGCAAAGCAGCCAATACTGACATAGCCTCCCATCCAAACAGCTCAGCAGTCACCCCTGCTGCCAGGTGCAGCTGTCAAGGGAATGTGGGCACTGGTGCTGCCAGTCAGCTGCACAAGTTAATCAGAGTCCCCTCCTTGCCTGCACCTCCTGGCTTGCAGCCTGGACATGGTTCCTCTGAGTCCCCCTAGCACTCACTGTGGCTACCATACCTTTGGCATTTAGCATTTGCTACACTGTATTATTACTACCTTTTCTTGTCCAAGCCCTACTTCCTAAATTAACTTCTTGAACCACTGGCTCAGTCTTGTGTGTCTAGTTGAGAGATGTTCATAGAAGGCATTTATGGGGTTTCTATAAAGGGTCACAGATGAATTAATAGGTTTGGTGGGGTCTCAGTATGATCTTAGCCTGTATCTCTTAGTTTGGCTGAAAGCTGCATCTTCTAACAATCTGTTGCTTCTGTAATAAGCAATTGTTTTCTAACTTTCTGAATGGCATCCAGGTCATGAAAGCCCCTTGGCAAATCTATATGCATACATGGAGTTCCGGGAAGAATGTAGAGCTCACCACTGCCCTCATTCCCTGCCCTCATTACTGCCTGTATGAATTCAGGCAAGGTGTGCTCTTTAAATCTTACTGTCCTGATCTCTAAAACTGGGATAATTACAGTATCTATGCTATAAGGTTGTAGTAAAGGTCAAATGTGATCATGTGAAATAGCAGTTCCTTCTTAAAGGACATAGACAAATCAGTAAGCATAAAGTAAGCTTTCAACAAATGTTAGCTACCGTCATTATTAGTGAGTAGGTAACACATACCAAAGGCATTACCTTGGGGAAAAAAAATCAAGGGTCATTTGCCCAAAGACACTAATCTCAGTGGGCCTCAAGAACTAGAGAAGTCAGGTGGCAGACTTGGGCTAGCATGCCAAATGCAGTTTCCAGGTCCTAACCAACGATGACAATTTTGAGACTTCCAAGATAAGAGGGTTGCATGTTCACAGGCCCTGATACCCTTGCTCCAACTTTGTTCAAATAAATATATAATCATTACGGGTCAAAATGTGTTAGCTCCTTCCTATAAAAATCCGAAGAGAATCTTACACCAATTATCACAATGGAAGCTAAAATCAACACAGAACAAAATGGGTGGGAAGGACTTCCTTTATCATTCATTTGTAGCTGGACTGAACACAATAACTCCTTCCAACCCAGAAAATACAGCCCTCCAGGAAAAAGCCAGGAGTGGGCATTAACTTCATTCTACCCCCTGCCCCTAGCTCTGGGATTCAGTTACACAAACCAGACACCTGGACAATACCTACCATATGGTAATCATTTTCTAACATGACCAAAGTTATCTCTGTCTCTACCTCAGCCCTTCCTCTATTTCTTCTTCTGTTTTACCTTCAGTAAACACATTTACTTTCAGCACCTAATATAGACAAGACAAGGGCAGAGGGTAATGAAGGGGTCTGTTGCATTCTGAATAGAAAAAGACAAAAAAAAAGAAGAATCATTTAGGTGGGCATATGCTGGAGGGTAAAGTTTTTCATACATTCCGTCAGAATACAGAATGTAGAATGCATTGACTTCATTACAACAAATACTCTTACTCTGCAGCTAGAGGTTTTACAGTGGTTTGTTAGGCAAGCAACAGATAACCAGAACCAACGTTAGTGTCTGAAGTAGAGTGCTGCTGTAGCAAAAACTTGAAACACTGACTTTGGGACTGGACAATTGGAAGAAGCTACAAGTGCCCTGTGAAAAATGCACAGGCCTCAGGAAGATTCCTGGAGAGGACTTTGAAGAACACTGAGAGAACTGCTAGTGGAAGCTGGTGAAGATAGCACCTGACGCAGGTACTGGTAGGACAGGTAACAAACCATAAGACATTTGAGGAGACTACCTCATAAATTTAAGAATCTGACCAGGGAGATTTTCAAGTAGAACACAGAAAGTGCAAACTTGAGTTTTTCTAGATGCCTATCATAAAAGACAAGGAGAGATGAGTTAAAGCAGAAACTGTTCTGGTTTTTGTTTTGGTTTGGGTTTTGTTTGGGATTTTTTTTTTTTTTTAGTGGAATTTAGAGGAAATAGAAAAAAACAGGATTTGCAAGATGAGATAGGTTAGAAAGTTTTTCTCATTCTGGTAACTCCAGGCAAAAAACCCTCCAAATTCAGGGCAGTAAAATGTAGTCTTGGACAAAGATTAAAGTTAAGGATGGGGCTGTAAGATCCTTTAAGTCTGCACACATATTTAAGAGCATGCCTTAAAGAGCTTCAAAAATCTGAGAGATCTGGTCCCTCAGCAGTCTCACCAAAGCCTGAAGCTAGAGTAAGGGCCAGTCATTAAGGAAATTTGTTAAGTTGGGCATTTGTCTAATAAATGTATCATAATTTGAATCACAGGAATCCCTCAATGTTTTTAAAGTATACCAGCTTGGGAGTAAATGGGACAGATATAGTACAAAAAGAAAGGATGCCTTTGGATTCCCAACCATTTATGGGCAATAAATAGGCTCCAAACATAGGCCATTTCCTATGGAAGAGGTGGCATGATTCAGATAAACCAAGAGTCCAAGAGGTAAAGCCAAGAATCTCAGAGAATCATTCCCAAGAAATAAGACCAAGCCCTAACTAGGGAACTGATGACATTCTGCTGGATTCCAGAATTTCTATGGACCAGTGACTGCTGCAGGAAATACCTCTCATGTCCTCCCTTATTGCATGGGGTACCTGTAGTTTTTATACCTCTGACTCAATGATATACGCTGGGTGTTAGGGGGAGTGGAAGGGATTCACAGATTTTCAGACTGAGAAGAACTACACTCAGGGAACCTCACCTATACCTGTAGATGAACAGATCCAGGACCTCAAGCCTGAGCCTGATGCCACATGGAGATGAGACTTTTTGAGGCTTTTGGATGTTCCTGGGTACTTTTTTCTTTGATATCTTTAATGTGCAATTACTTGAACAACATTATGGTTACTAGACTCCCCCCATTATCAAGTTCCCCCCACATACCCCATTACAGTCACTGTCCATCAGCGTAGTAAGATGCTATAGAATCATTACTTGTCTTCTCTGTATATACTGCCTTTCCCATGTCCACCCCCTACATTATGTGTGTTAATCAGAATGCCCCATTTTTCCCTTTATCCTTCCCTTTCCACCCACCCTCCCCAGTGTCCCTTTCCCCTTGGTAATTGTCAGTCCATTCTTGGGTGCTGTGAGTCTGCTGCTGTTTCGTTCCTTCAGTTTTTGCTTTGTTCTTATACTCCACAGATAAGTGAAATCAGTTGATACTTGTCTTTCTCCACCTGGCTTATTTCACTGAGCATAATACCCTGTAGCTCCATCCACGTTATTACAAATGGTAGGATTTGTTTTCTTCTTATGGCTGAATAATATTCCATTGTATATACATACCACATCTTCTTTATCCATTCATCTACTGATGGACACTTAGGTTGCTTCCATTTCTTGGCTATTGTAAATAGTCCTGCGATAAACACAGGGGTGCATATGTCTTTTTCAAACTGGGCTGCTGCATTCTTAGGGTAAATTCCTAGAAGTGGAATTCCTGGGTCAACTGGTATTTCTATTTGGAGTTTTTTGAGGAACCTCCATACTGATTTCCACAATGGTTGAACCAATTTACATTCCCACCAGCAGTGTAGGAGGGTTCTCCTTTCTCCACATCCTCCCCAACATGTGT